AGAATAATTTTGTATAACCTTTTTTCAATTGGCTTTATAAAGAAATATGATTTGCCAGCATTATTAAAATATAAATGTAAGTATATACTGGTATATTTGCTGTTGTAGCTAAACGGATTTTTAATTGATATATCATTTAAAGACATGTCGTTTGCTTTTTAAAATCTTGTAATATACAGAAATTGTCCTCTAAAACCCAACTATTTCTTATATTACCCAAACTATCTAAAACTGGTTAGAAGAATTTGCATAAAGCATCTATCTCGATGGCGGAGCACTTGAGTTGGCTGTGGAAACATAAAAACCTGACAGCATCTGCCTCGATTGGCGACGAGTGAAAATGTTTCAAAATAAACAGAGGGCGTGGCTCCGTCGACGGATCTTTCAGATAGCTCTTCCCGTCTCTGTCGATCGTTCGGCAAGTTCCCCCATACCTATATCTATAGCTATAGCCATCACATTCGGATGTGCGATCGCCGGAGCGTAGACAACGATCGCTTTCGTCGGCTTTTGGTGGGCGTTCCTGAATTGCGTTTGTTGCTAATTTGCTATTTTATTTATATATTTTTGCCAGCGGCTGCTAGAACTAAACACTTGGCAATTAGCAAGTCAACAGAAGTTGACAGCTCCTCCTTTTGATAAAATATAAACAATTAACTTTGAGCGGCCAGCAAGTAATTAATGAGCACTTTATGCAAAGCAAGAACTGGCTAAAAAATAAAAACAAATATCACAGTCCAGCCAACTTGAGTGGGCGGTCAAAGCTGAGGGTCCAGAAACATTTTAGACAATCCAACACAATAAGCCAATTAAAAGTCAAGAGGGCGAAGTTGGCCAAAAACTTCTGTCAAAGCTGGTGCTTAAACTAAAAGCGAGAAATTCATTTCAATGCCCTACCTGTTTTTTGTCCTGCTAATAAGCATAATTTATGTCGCTTTCTGCCACTTTGGACCCCAAGCTGTCATAAAATTCTAAAACCGCAAAGCAAATCAAATAAAAACTAAAAATACAAACGAAACACGAAAAAGCGACGCTATACCAAAAAATCATCAACTAAATTGCTTCTCTAGTTCTTTGCTTTATTTTCCGCTGCATTTTGTTGATTTATGTGCTGGTTTACTATGCACACGCTTTGGCTTTCAATTTGTGGCAGTGAGGATTTTATTTTAGAGGAATTGCTAGATATGCCACGGCGAAATTACATTTTGATCCCCCCAATGAGTCAGACAATTTCTGCAATGCCAATTTGCATCGCAACATTTTTTAATTTCACACATCGCTACAAATGAGTTTTTCCTTGCACTTGGGGTCAGTAATCTTTGCTAATGAAATTTCTCGTATTTAAGTTGAATTATTTCGATCTACTAATTGCCAGGATTGTATCCGGATTACCCGCAGTTGCATGCGAATTCAGATTTATGGCATTCCATGCCAAATAACCAACGTCTCTCGATTGCATTTAGCATGTGTAATAATGATGTTGCATAAATTCCACCTCCTGCTCCTTTGGAACATTAAATGCATTAGCTGCCCAAAGGTTTGGTAATCATTGGATATCCGGTGATAATGGCATTGTTTCGTTGTTATTGCCACCTCACAGATTCGCTTCAGATTGCATTTGTGCCTTAATTAATAAGCAAAGCATTTAAAGCAAATGCCATGTATCTGTATCTACATCCCCGGAAAGCTGCATTCGAAAAAAGAGATGCTAGCGATAAGGCTAATCACAGTGACTGGATATAAATAAATGTTAATGTTTATAGAATATTAATAAAAAAGGTATGTCGCTAAAAACAACATAGTAAAAATTCTAAAAATAATATTTTTGAAAGAATTTTAGTTTCAAATTTGTTGTAAAAAAATCTAATAAAAATACCTATATCTTAAATAAAATAATGTTCTTCAAATGAAATAAGTCTTTTACTAAAACTATAAATATAGCACTTCATATATATGTAGATAACTATTAAGGAACCCATTAAATACTCGTTCCCTGCAGTCACAGTGACTTCCTCAAAATTCCGTGACTGCCAACACAGCAGGAAGTTGAAACCTTTCCCAAATGTTTGGCAACCGAATATGTTCTGTTAACATTTCGGAATGTTTCGAATTTCTGGGGGCGGTTATAGGGTGGGATATTTGTGCGGGTGAGCTTAATCCAAAATGACAGGCAATGCAGTGATTATGTTATTAATTAGTAATGGCAGTGCAATGCGTTTATTTGCACGGAGCAAAGTGTTTCGTTACACAGCAAGTTGGGTAATTTCAGGGAATCGAAGGTACTTTGCAACATTTGCCACATATATGATGTACATTCAGCTTGTTTACTTATGATTTAGGGTTTGTGGATGCATAATTACAGAGATTTTCGACTAGTATCCATTTCGTGTGAGTTATGACTTTCCTTTCCTGTTTTTCCATCATCCACAACAGTATTCCGCATTCCACGCCCCCATGGGCAATTATCATAATTTTTTCAACACCACAAAACAAACAAACAAACACAAAATATGCTAGATTACACATTAAAACATTATTTGTAAAAGGAAACTCGGGAAAATGGTTGAATTTTTCTTGGCACGCCCGAGAATTATGTACAGCAGCCGCCATAACTAAGTAGCGTTTTTCCAACCCCTCCCCATTCACAGCATTTTCCGACACCCAAAAACACTTGGCCATCCTAATTTGGCTGCTCATTGTTGGGCCAGACATCATTTCTTTCGTTTATTTTCGAAAAAGTGCGCGGCGAATGTGAAAATTAATTATACTAAGCACACGCATAGACGGAGAAAACAAAACGAGGGGGATTTGAATGGCAGGGAGGTTAACAGCAGGGGTTAGGGGCTAAAGAAAATTGCGGACGCGACCAGACTGACTGCCCGACTATTTAAGGATTTTTCCGACTCTCTGATCTCGTGGCGTTGATTGAAATACATGTGTAAGACCAACGAAATAGCTGAGACGCATCTGTCATAAACCTATTTAAGTGGCAAATACCATTTGCACAGCCAGAAAAGTTGGGAACGTATTTGGAAAAGGAATATCATCCCTATAGACAATGGTTTTATTACCAAAACAGTTTAAATAGCCCTCACATTGTTGTGGCTAACTTTGACCTATAATAATGGATGTATTTCTAAATATATTTTGACAAATTACTCAGTTATTCTGAGAATATATTCAGAGTTTCTACACCATTAGCACTAATAAATCGTATTTTTATTTCGACCATATTCTTTTTATTTCGACTTAAAAATGTAGTATATCAAGAAAATGCTCCCCATTAAGTCAATTAAATTTCTGGGAAATTTCAATCGATTTTAGATTTTTTTTGGGTGCCTCTATTTTTTCTTTTGGGCTATTTATGCGCTCTGTTTCTGTCATTTTTGCCACACACGCTCACACAGACACTCTTAAATGTCAATAAATCATATGAGCGGGTCGAAAGATAAGCGAGGGGCCTGTGAATCGCTTGACAAGTTCTGGATATTTTTAGAAATATTTCCACATCTCGCCTTAATGAGGTTTAGTGCTCAGATCAAAACACAACAAACAAGGCAGTTTATTGACGATAGCCCATCTATTCAAGCCAAAACGGAAGAATTTAAGGGGGGGAATACACATAAATTATTAATGAAGATTTATGCAATATTTACCAAATCGCATCGCGCCCGAAACATTAATAACCTAAATCCCCCGAATCAATTAGATCATCAATGGGCAAGAAGCGACACTTGAGAATAATCAACAATTAAATACGACGATGATGAGTGGGCCCGCATCCCGAAAAGGCCATAAAAATAAAACCATCTAGGTGAAAGGAAGGAATCCACTTGGGCTGGCCATTAAGAGTGCGGATAAGGTAAACACGGGAAATGCTTTATTGTTCATTACCGTATGAATAGATCTAATGATCGTTTTCGGGGTGGCACGCGGGATGAGTAATTGGGGGTCAGAAAATAATGGTGAGGAAAACTCACTCATAATCCATCTTCATCCGTAAAATAAACAATTTGCCCGGGCATCAATCTATTGGCGGCCTCATAACAATTTGAATTGCCGTACTATGCACCAGTGAGTGTGTGCGGGTAAATTTAGCAATCAATTAATTGATTTTCAATACGAAAATGTGCGGGATTTGTTTGTGCAGTACGTACTTGGGCCATTTCCTCTTCGAAATTTGTTATTTTCATGTTAATTTCATAATTCTTTTTTCCGCCACTCCGGCGAAATGAGCATGTCATATAGCAGGCATCTATCTTTAACGTTTGAATCTCTATCTGAATCCAAGTGTGTGTATCTGCAGACATGCCGCTGAAATACTAATTATGTGCGCGATTTAAATAGATTTTTCATTTATTTAGCTGGCCCATCATTTCTGGATGAAATGGAAATGAAAACGAAAATGAGAGGCAAATGTTTTATGTTGCGCCATTGGCCTGGGTGGAAAACGTTGGGGGGGAAATGGGGAAAATGGGAAAATACCAACCGAAAGGGGGTCGATTTTTGCCTTTTGACGTGCGCCTGTCATTTCATCATTGCTCTCGTTTGGAGTCTGAGGAAAAATGAGCACCGACTGACTGACGGGGCGGAAGTGTTGCGAGTATATTCAAATAATTTCCACGGGGAGGATACACAATTCTCGAGTTATTTGTTGTGCGCCCACTAATAAGGCCAAATGGGCCATAAACATTTGTAATTATGTGGCTGCGGGCTGGCTTTGACTCATCCATTTGGGGCGGCACCAAATTAGGTGCCGTTTCCACCTTTTATCGAAGGGAAATCAGGTTCACTTACAGGATTTAACTGTTATATTGTAAAGATATTACATAAATTCGGGGGTGACATACTAAAAAGAAGAAAAAAAAACATTTATATATAGAAATTACTTAGCTTCTTAAGACTAAAATTGGATTAAAACAAAAAATTTTTAAGTTTATCCTATCTATAAAAAGGTCTGGACTTATATTGATAAAATCTATGTTTTCTTGTATTTCCAGGTGAAGATTTGGTTCCAAAACCGTCGCACCAAGTGGAAAAAGCAGGATAATGTCACAAACAACGAGGCGGCGGAACACAAATCCACCAACGTTAAACCAGGAGCACCAACTACCGCAACAACTACATCAACCACCACAACAGGTGGAGAACCTGGCGAAAAGAAACCCCTCAATGGAAACTCGCCCAATGCCGCCCCAACTGCGGAGAGTAAGAAGTCTCCAAAGTCTCCCAATCGCGGCAGTAATAACAACAATAGCAGTACGCTAAATAACAATGTTAATAGCAGCGAGGGCAAATCACCCGGCAAACCTAGTACCACAAGATTAAAAAACAATTGAATGCCCTGCTGGAAAAGACAGTTAAATCCGCCAGTCAGGCAAATCGAGGTGCGGAACTGGAGACCGGAACCGGAAACGGAGATCAGAAGCCTGCAGTGGAGAAACGGATAAATAATAGTAATGAAAATCAATTGCTCCACCAGCGGTTGCATCAGCACGCTATACCCCTTACTGTAGAACCAGCTGCTCCACTCGAACAAACCGAGAAATTGGACATAAAACGCGAGGAATCGCCGCAGCATCGGGACTTGCAGCTAAGACTCCAGACGGCCATTCAAAATGGCCAGCTAACGGAAACGGAAATGGATTTCGAAAGCAAATTGGCGGCCAGCAAAATATCGATTGCTTGGCCATGGCCAACAAGCAAATTCAACCGGAAAAGTTGGTCAAAACCGAAAGTTCCTCGTCGGAGGGTGAAGGAGAGGCTGAAGAAGATGAGGAGGAGGAGGAGGATGGTGGTTCCTCCAGCGAACATGGTGATTCCACGGAGGCCCACGATTCGCAGGATCAGGATGTCGCCATGCGGGAGATCTAATGGTGAAAGCCCCCTCCCCCAAACTAAACACACAGTCAAATTAACTTGTGCCAAAAAGTCGAATATTGCTCATCCACAAAGAGGAGAAACCATCCCCCAAAAAAACAGAAATAAAAGCCCAATAATTGTAATACCTAATTGTAATTTAATTGTCGCGTAATCCGTTCACCTTTAGGCTTGTATTTAATTTATTTAATATACTTAAACGCTAAGGCTAGGCTTTTGTAAATGTCGCATTTAAATGTCCGCGTAAACTATGGCATATTGTAATCTGAACTTTCGAGAATTTCATGTGATAATGTATACGAGGCGATTACAAAATTGATTTTACTACTTGAACTATGAACTATATTGTACGTAAGCCTGTAAGCTCTGCTACCCTGTAAATTGCAATTGAATGAAACATATTTATTGAGTGTTTGTACAAAAAAGGAATTAAGGCAACAAATTAGATGATAGGCCGGAGAGCGGTTTAAATTCCTGATTAGGACTTAGGGAAAATATTTAAAAAATTTAAACATGATTGGTTAATAATACTTGAACATAATACAACTTTTTCCAATCGTAAACTTTGGCAAATATATTTACAATTTAAAAAACAATATCCAAAACTAAATAGAAACTGATAAAAAGTAATTTAGATATGATTTGTTCTTAAGCTTCCGCCAAGTTTAATAGGAGTATTAAACAACAATTTGGTCGATAGATCGCTCCGCCGTTACACATTTTAAATTCAACAAATAAACGAAAACAAAATAAACAGAATAAATTCAATCGATCACAGTCGACGCATTTTAGCAGGTGGGCGGGTCATAGGTGGCTCTGGAAATCCACCACGCCCTCCTCGGTGATGAGGAACTCGGCAAAATCATTTGGGGTCTCTGGCGAGTAAAGGATCTCCAGTTTGCGGACCGTGATCAATTGATCTGCCATCCGATGCTGCTTGGGCACCCGGGAAACTCGCAGGCGGGTCCGTCCCAGGTGTGCCCACTGTAATCCCAGGCAGGGAACCTCGTCCTGATTACCACTGGAGGCCACCTGATTCACACAGACCACGGCGCAGTTGTACTTATCCGCATAGCAGAGAGCGCATCGGCCAGCCGTCGCATCTGCCGGGCCCGCTCCATAAAATCGGTGTACAGCCGGAATGAGGCGGCCACTGAATCGATTATGATCAGGCCAATGCCATGTTGTTGCATCAGTCGCGGCAGTCGATTTCTTATGCAACTCAGAAGGGATTCCTGCGTGTAATAGAGATTTTTATTAGAAAAGATATCATAATATGAAATGAAATTAAGTTTAAATCAGAAAGGATGATTAACAAAAAGTGTTTTCCCACTCACGGTCTCGTAATGATGTTCCACAAAGATGTTGCCCAGGAAATTGAGTTTCTCCTGGGGATGTCGCTTCTCGCAGGCCTTGCTCATCTGCAGCAACCTTCTCGCCGGAAAAGCGTCCTCCGTGCAAATGTAGGCCACACCCCTGCCCATTCCTCCCAGCTCAGTGGGCAGCTGAACGCACAAGGATAGCTGCAGGAGCAACTGGGTCTTACCCACGCCGGCGGCTCCACAAAGTTCGGTAATACCCCGAGTAACTACTCCTCCACCCGTACAACGATCCAGGGCAGAACATCCAAAGGACACCCGAGACCATCTCACATTTACAAGTGGCTTGAAGAGGGAATCAGCTGTGATAATAGAAGATTTTTATTGGCATATTTCTGAATCTGTCTAACCTCTGATTGCTAGCTGAATAAATGTTGCTATTGATAATCCGTAAAAACTATGACTACCTGATTACTACTGTTCTAAAGAATTCGCGGTTTCAAATAGCCTATTTTGTATATATCTCCCAGAGCTTCTTACCTGCCTGAGGCATCTCCGCCAGCCACTTGGCAGCCGCGTCCTTGAGCACCCTTACATCATCCGGAGTGCATTTTCGCACAAGTGCATGTAGGATTGTTGCCGAGTGTCCAGGAACCGCACCTTTGGGGTTGTGAGAACCTCCTCCGGCGCTAGGACATTAACTGGAGGACAGGACATTAGCTGGTACTTGAACTAAGTTGTGGGAACTCAAAACTATTACCCTGCTCCGCGATTTCCCTGATATGCTTGGGCAACTGATCCAAAAGTTTGTCATCGCGATGCGATGGCATGTCCTCGATGGATTGCGTGATATGATGGCTCCGCAAACACGGAAGGTGTCTCAACACCTCCGCAATTGTATTTATTCCGGGTTATTATTGATCAAACAGCCGAGTATTAACGATGATTTGCGAACGACTCGAGGAGGTAAATAAAAGCCGGTTGAAATCAGCTGTTGGCGCCTATTTTTAAGTGGGTCAATCAGCTGGCAGCTACAGTGGATATTTAGTAAAGGAAACCTGCACAATTTTGCTCAAAAGATAAATCTATTATGGTAAATCACCTCCGATGGAATACAAGATAAGATCATGAATAAAGTAATTTATCTAATACACTTTAGCTATCGATACCTAATTATAGCCCCATTATTTTTAAATCTTCTTAAGCAGGCAATTTTGTCCTGTGGTTCTTCACTGTTCCAAATCATAGACGGTCATATGAAAATTTTCAACACACTTCCAACATAAACCTTCTTTTTCCAAGAGTCCATTCATCAATCACAAACACCAAACACTTAGGCAGGCATATTTACATAATGGTTTTGTTTCAATCATTTAATTTCGAACATTTTGCTTTGCACAAGTGTCAGAAGAAGAAGGATCGATAGACGGTGATCGATAGATGGTGGCTCCACTATCGTTTCCCCTGCACCTCCTGCTCCGCTTCTCAACAGGCGAACTTCGAGTGTAAATGTTGTGGTTTTTCTGTGTGTTTTAAGCTAAGGGAACTAAGGATGTGGCATCCTGGAGTATCCTAGTGCTTGGGAGTGGGCTTCGAGAGCTCAGCCAGGGCACGGGCCTCGGCCTCCGCGCTGCGCTTCTTCTCCTCGGCGAGCTTGGCATCCCGGACGGCCTTCTGCTGCGCCTCGATCTCACGGACCTTCTCCTCCTTCTTGGACAGGCGGCTCTGGTGGGCGGCACCATAGGCGATGCCCACCAGGAGCAGGGACCATCTTCCGAACTTGATCAGCGGGGAAACGCGAACGGGAGCCTGCGACATGGTTTCTTCTTCGAGTTATGTAATTGTCCGTCCGTGAACTGCAAGAAAAGGGTACACTTTAGTAATCTTACATGGTTATATGGCCACCCCGGTCCACCCTCTACTTCACAGATCTATTGTCCTTTAGTTTTTTTGCAACTTTTGGTGTTAAATAAGCGAAATTACCCAAATTGGTGGAGCGATTGCAAAGGCAGCGCAGTATAACCTTAAAACAGCTGTCAAAACTGACAAGCGGCTATCGATAGTAGATGAGCGGCGTTGCCAGAAGGTTTCAAAAAATAAGTAATGGTAAAAAGAATATTAAATAATTTTAAAATATGATTTGATTTCAACGTTTGATTGTTATAATTGCTGGATTCTATCTCAGAATTTTGACATATTTCTCAGGCGTGCTTGACTACAATATACACATTTTACCTACATTTAAACTATAGATCAATAATAACTAGGCTGAAGTGCAGTTCTTTTGTTGACATGACCTTCACCAGAAATAAATAAATAATACTAAGCAACAGCAATAAATTCAAATTCCTGTTGTTATCACTGCTACGCACCGTTATGCAACACTGGCGCATCGCCAAAAACAAACGGTCATACTTCGCAACCTGGAAAAAAGTATTGTTTTCGGAAAAATCATGGCTAATTGCAGCTAGAACGCGACTTGTAAATTTGGCCAATACGTTTTTTGGGGCCACCAAGAAGGCGGCAGTTGGACAAAATCCAAGGACAGATGAAAATTGACGCGTGTTAAATGCAAACAAGAAAATTCCAACACAGACCTTGAGTGGCTCACACACACACGCAATCCCCTCCACACCTGCGTCACACATACACACACGCACTCACACACCGATAAAGGGGAGCAAAAGGGATAGAAGATCGAACCGTTCCCTGTTTTTTGCTTTTTAGTTTTTAAAACAGGAAGTGGATTTTAGGGGATCGTTTGCTGAATTTTGCAGCTGCAGCTGGCAATATGGTGAATGTACCCCCGCTGCTCTGCAGCACCCCCCGCCCATTGATTTCGGCGAGGAAGACGACGATTCCGGTTTGCAATCCACAATCCATTTGGACGAAGGTGACGAATACTCCAATTTTGGCTTAGTCAGCAGCTCGAAAGGTGAGCTTAGATATACGTAATGGTATCCCCCATCTGGTACTCACGTAAAGCCCACTTTTCAGAACCCCCTGCGCCACCGGATCCTGTTGGGGAATTTCGAGAAAAGCCACCGGATTTGCTGGAAAATAAACAAACCGCCGAGGCATTCAATTACCAAGTGAAACAGGCGATGGATTACGATGTTTTCGGAGAAACAGCACCGCCCACGCCGCCGCCCCTGAGTCTGGAGCTCGAGGAGGAGGAACTGGAGGAGCAGGTACCCTCCCTAAAGCTGGACAGTCTAAGTCTCTACTCACGGAAAGCGTGTCCGCCGCCTCCACACTCTCACCCGTTGCGGAAACGGAGCCAGTGCCTCCAGCCCCCGTGATGCAAACAACCAAAGCCCACGTACTCAGCCATCAAGTCACGCTGGAGGATGTGTCCGATGACAGTGATGAGGAGTGCTCGCCAAAGAAGCCCAAAGAACTATTTATACGTGAGGGAGCCGTGGATTTCTTTGCCATCGAGGTGCTAGCCTCACCCACATTACCAAATGGAGGAGGTTTTCCGGAGGAGGATCAGGATACAGGGAAAATATTAAACCAAGAGAATACCTCCCAACAAGAAGAAGTCTCTAAAAGTTCGGAAAACCAGGAAAAAGTTCAAATAACTTGGCGAATCAGTTGGAAAAACAAGAAAACGGCCTATCAGATCCCAGCACCTAGAGGAAACCACAACCACTGGGGTAAACCTGCGGTAGTGATGCTTTTCAATTTGCAACTTTGAAGAGCCGCCAGAAGACCTAGTGCATCAAGACAATATCCCAGAAAGTCAGGAAACCGAGGAAGACGATGACTTTGGTGACTTTGCGGATTTCTCAGCAGCAGAACCTGAAGCCAAGAACTCTCCACAGCGACAGCTCCTCTTCAAGCTGTCTTTGAAGCACCACCTTCCTTAGAAACGGAACCTGTTAAGGAGGAGTAGCTCTCCTTGGAGGCTTCCATAAAAATACCTCCTTCAGAACCAGCAGATGATGGCTTCGATGACTTCCAAGAGTTTGCCACTCCCAGAATGGAAGTGCTGGCCAAAGCGACGACGATGATTTTGGCGACTTCTCAGAGCCCGTTGTGGCTGCCGTTTCATTACCTCCGCCGCCGCCGCCAGCTGCTGTCCACCTGAGCATCGATGAGAGGGTGAAGCCAGTCCTGGAGATGATGTTCCCGCAATCCAAAGAGCTGGAAAGCATAGGCATGGACAAGCGGAAGCCCTAGCGCAGTGTCAGCGGTTTAATTTTGGCGCCATCGAGCATGCCCAAGCCCTGGATTATCAATGGGGCAGCTCAGAGATGAGGCATGCCCTCGTTCGATCGCTGGGCATCGATTCAAGAAATATAGTAAGTCTAAAATATTTTAGATCATGAATTCAGCATAAATTGTTTTATATTATAGTATTTTTAATGTAAACCCCTATAAAGCATACTAAATGTGATATTTTTTAGCTCTTCGGCGACAAGTGGAACTCATCAATGCCGCGTTTTGCCGCCAACCTGAGCTTCGATCCCCTGAAGCCGATGAAACCTTAACGACCGGTAACACCTTGGAAGTTATTTCCAGTCCCAGCAGTCACCAGGGTGAGTGTCCCCCCAATCTCTGAGAGATTGCTCCACTTAGTTGCCGCAAATTAACCGCTACACAAGTTTCGTAACTCGAGAAATTGCCACCCTATCGCCTAACGCTCGCTTTACTTTCAAACGCTTTTCGTTGCCTATTTCCCGATCCTATTGACACACGCTTCCCGGATTGGCCTGCCGTTCGATTGGCTGCTCCTTTCTATATATATATTTATTTTTCGTTTGCCTTGTTTTCCTTGTGACCACATTTCTTCTAACTATCTCAACAAACAATCAAAAAGTTTATCCTTACGATAAATTGTATTTAGAATCACATGTACAGACATTACAATTGGAACAACTAGACCAACTAATGGTGGTGGCTAATGCTGATAAAATAAATCTTGTTACCTCTAACTCCCACACCAATAACAACAACAACGTTGACAACGATAATGGTGAAAACGACGTTGCTGCCCCATTGATCAACTGGATGATAAACCACCTGTGATGGATTTGATGCCACCCATAACAATCACAATTTGACAATCGATTTGCACCACTCTCCACCACTCACACATTTTGCCACCATCTGCAACAACAACAATAATAACAATAACGTTAATAACAATCTTAAAACAATCATGATAAAAATACTGCAACAATGACAATACCAATTAACACAAATCTCACTGCTCACGACGCCTTGCTGGATTTTAGTAAGTTTCGTTGGCTCTGTGCGTGTGTTGTAGTTGTTTCTCCTCCTTTTTTGGGTTCCTTCAGTTTCGGTTCTCTATATACTTCTCAGCTCTATTCTCTAACTACCCGTACTGTCCACCCGATCCACAGTTCCCCGGTTCTTGTTACTTTGGCACAAAGCATCCGAATCTCAGCCAGCTCAGTTCAAGCACAAGTAGTTGAAACCCACCCAGACTCCCCCTCATTTTCACATTTTTCTTAGCTAGATACAGTTCATACTAATACCTATATATTGTTCCTAGTGTAAGCCATCATCTGATGTGTTCTTGAAATCTCGGCCACTCGAAAGAAGTGCTATAAGTTTTTTAAAATATTTTTTCTGATCTCAAACGAAAACTATATTTTTGATGATATTTAATATTTTCAATAGTTTTAAAAAAGATTGACTGATATAAAGATAATAATTTAATTTTAGTATTTGAAAGCACAATTAATAAATCAAATACCTTGAAAATCTTAATTTATTAAATAATGTATAATTAAAAATTATTCATAGTCAAGCACAAACATAACTTTCGTTAAAAAATGGTAAATACGATTATAGTTTTTGAATTTTAAATAATTCTTCAACATAACAGATGATTATAATCTAAGCTTTAAATATCAAAGTATATTTAATGGTAATCAGTATGACAGCCAAGTAATTGTTTTCTTTCCTCCGACAGGACTGGAAAACGCCACCGCAGCAACGGCGAGCCAAACTGAAGCGCGGACTAGCCCGTCTCATGGGGAAGGGTCCCCGGCTCCGGCTCCGTCTTCGGGTCCGCCAGCAATTCCGACGGCGAAGAGCGACAGAACCATAGCTACCAGCCAGCTGCAATCCCCAGCTCCGAATCGAACCATATTGAATCCGCAACAGCGCCACCAGCAGCAGTTGCTACTCCAGCAGCAGCGACGCTATCGACTGCTCTACCAGCAGACAGCCCTGCCCACCAGCTCAACGGCGGTGAGCAGCTGCATCAGCAGCGGGCGGAGCAGGACCAGTTTGATTTGAGGACCACTTCGCCGCCCGCACCGCCAGCTCAGGAGGAGATCGTGGGCAGCTCGATGGCCAGCTATTCGGTGCCGTTGAAGGAGACCCACATCTACACGCCCTCCAAATCGGATACGGCGGTGGCCAAGACAACCACGCTGGCACCCATTGATTTCGACTACGAGATGGCGGCCACTGGCATTATTATCGATGAGACGGTGGTCAAGAAGGAGTATCGCGATGTAGAGTACAAGCCACCATTTGGTCTGGATTCGCCCAGCAAATTGAGTGGCAATGGAGCTGCCAGCAGCTTCGAGTTGCCGCCGCAGGCGGAAGACGATGACTTCAGTGACTTTCAATCGATGCCGGCGCCCAGGTCGAGAATCGATACACCCACTTTTGGGGAACAGATGATCCTGAGTCCGGCCATTCTATTGCCCCAAGCCATTCCGCTGGCGAAGAAGCCAGCGGCGTCTATAGAATGGGGAGACAATGCCTTGTCCAGCATAAATGCCGAGGAGATGGCCAGAATAGAGGAGTTTTCTCGTCACAAGCCAAACCACTCACCATTAGCGCTTCGGTGGCAAGAAACCCACTCCTCCCAAGCTAGTTCAATCTCAGACGCAAGAGGATGATGAATGGTCGGATTTTGTTCTGTTCCAGTTAACCAACAGCAGCATCAGCAGCACTCAATCGCTAACAACAATAACAAGTGAACAGCAACCAGAGGAAACCATCTGCTCCAAAGGAAGATGATTGGTCGGATTTTGTGAGCAGTACTCCACCTGCTCGACCGGCGCCACAATTCAATTCCGGTGCCTGGCAGAGCGCTAACTTCTACAACAATCCCTTGAGCCTGTACCAAGCACAACAGCAACAGCAGCATCCCCACAGCAATCTGGTGCCCAGAAGCAGCGGCAGCACAAGCAGCAATAACAACAATGTGCCAGCCATTCCACAGCAAATACACATCATGCATGACTTCTCGACGGCGCCCGTGTCTGGAGGATTGGGTGTGGGCGCCACCTACCAGCAGCAGCATCAGCGACAGCAGTTCCAAATCGGCAACGCCAAGGTGGCACCACGCATCTCCCTGATCCCCGATCTTAGCTTTGTGGCACCGGCTTTGCCCACAAATGCTGGCGCCTTCATGGGTACGCTTCCGAAACCGAGTTTCGGTGGCAAGAAATGACACAAGAAGCTGAGGGTGGGCGGTGGGCGGCTCCAGCAGCAGCAGCATCAGCGTCAGCATGTGGGCGGTGCACGCCCACTGGGAGCGGCGAGGCCACCATCCTCACGTAGGCAAAAAGGGCGTGCCCTGGGGTGCCAGTCAGTATTATGAATCCGTCTGATATTTACCATAAACCGAACCGTCACACATGTAGTTTGATGCAAGCTGTGTTCCATGTTGTTGTCGTTGTTGTTGACGTTATCGTTGGCATAATTGTTGTTGTTGTTGTGCGTGCATGTTGTTGTGTTAGTCGTAGATCAGGGTTAAAAACAAATATACAGAAAAGTAGACATTTTGTGCAATAGTTTGGTTCTAAATTGATATTGTACTTAATTTTGACAAAGAAAAACTTTTAATAAGCTTGAACCGGAATTTTTTGATTTTTATAAAATATTGAAACCAATTATTATAAGGAATCCATCTGAGTTTTTAAAAAATCGATTGGCTTAAAAGAATATGTAACTCTTAGAAATCAAAACCCAGTGAAATTCTCGAAACTACGTGGGGTATTCCTGAAAGCCTTCGAGATTTTTAAATTTAAGTCTATGCATCTCTTAGCATGCAATACTGTACTGCGGTCATATCAATATAACATCATAAGAATAATGTACCCTAGATGACCAAAACAAAAGATTAGGAAATTGTTACACAGACTTCAGGAATATCACAAGTGATTTCTAAGGAAAAATTCCGGAACAGCTTTGTTTTAAATAAATGAAAGAATATTATGTTCTATTTTAGCTTAATGATCCCAAATCTACGGATTTTTATCAGTTGATCTACAGTAAAGCCTAGAAATGCATTCCACTGACAACTTCCCTTTTTGTAACTCCCCTAAAAATACTCTGAAGCGAATGCGGGCCACCACATTGATGAAAACCCAACCCGCCTGATGCAAATTTTTCTATATTGTGTACTTAAACCAACAAAAACCCAAACTAACCAAGCAAACATAGTTAACGTTGTAAATGTAATAGATTTGTTAGTCGATAGAAGAACTCCCAAGCATTCCAAGTGTAAATGAGTGTGTCTGGCTGCCATGATGATCTCCAGAAAATCGCTGGAAAACGAAACCCAATCCGCTCCAGTTCTTGATTATTGTTTTTTTCGTGTTAATGTGTTTTCATTTATTTATTTTACTTTAGGTTACGCACTTTAAGTTGAATGTGTCTGTGTGTTGCGTGTGTGTGTCTGAAAATTATAAACAATTATCGACTAAATCTAAGTGTTTGATGTAATCATATGTTTTTAGGCTTAAATGTAAATTACAAATAGATTTCCATTTGTTTTGTTTTATTTTGCCAAGTCAATGAAAAAAGGTAAAAACAAGAACATGATTATAGATGGTTGCTGCTTGATTTAAATAAATGAATTAACTATGTACTAGAACGTATTAAAATATATTTACCATATTGTATAATTAAAAGATATGCGCAGATTAAATAAACCTATTTAAAAACAAAATCCTTCAATATTGGAGCGTTCATTAAAATACAGAAATCTGGGTGAGGGGGGACAACACGAATTTGAACTCATTTGCTAAACTATAAAAGCCGGATTTCTGGGACGGGGCGGGCCGATCTACCTTTAATATATATAAAATATGGGTGTACTAGTGAGTGAGTGTGATTGAAACCTGCGTGTGAGTAGAGAGATTATCAATAAATTGAAGCACTAGGTGTCCAGCAGTCCACTACTCTCCTGGAGAAGCCTCGTGAATTAATGAGTGTGTGTCTATGATTTAAATCAACGATTCAGTGTCAGTTCCTAGGGGTTCGGGGCAGGTGCGAGGGGGTATAGCTCTATGGCAGTAAATAGTACGTAATAGTTAGAAATTACACATGTATCTAATATAAATATCTATATAAATAGTGTACGATCGATTTTTGTCAATGTGAATGTGTGTCTTCATTGACATCTTCATGAAAATCATCGTCGTCTCTCTAAATGGTCAACAGTTTTTCATATTCATTCAATTATCTTATGATGCCTTAATGCTTAAGCGCGTTGTTTTTAATTATTATTATTATTATCTTTCCTTAACTTTAGCCTTGCTCTAACATAATGAAACGCTAACAAACCAAAAATATGCTCATGAGTATCAGGGGTGGATCGATCTTCGGCTAAAGAATCTTTGGGGGTGAACCGTAATCGCACAATTTTAAGGCATTTTGCTTGAGGAAACATTGGTCTAATATCAATTTACAATCTCTAAATCTAGGTCTTTTTGATAAATTTGTTCTTATTAGATAATTTCGATTATTTTCACTGCTCCAAGAGAAATTTCAACTTGTTTTGTAACTTCTTTTGGAAACTGCACAGACCAAAATTGATTTTAGACCTATTTCTGAGGCAAACTTGTTAGAATTTACATTGATTACTTTCCTTCCTTGGCTGGAACCACCCTTGGGTGAGGGGTGTGTGGGTGTGGCTATCCGTTATGATATTTTGAACTAACAGTTTACATACTTTCCCTCAAAATAAGATCTAAGCTCGGGGATGCCCTGAACGAGTCTCAAATATCCCTGTTCTCTGTTCCATGCCGATTAAAATTGCCGGAATTTGGATTGATTGAATTGGTCTTACAAAAAATATAACTCGCTAAGGTTGATACATTTTTGTTAACGGAAATTACTAATTAAAAATAATTCCGACAGCTTACCGTAATGGGAACAGGTCTGAAAACAAATTTGCTTAGTTCAAGGCGAGGCAATCTACGTATAAAAGCTAATAAAGAATCCCTCGAGCCAAAAACCAGTTTAGCCCTGGTCGTATGTTCAAGATTATCTGCCTCGAACATTGTAAATAGTCTTCGTTTTAAGGCTGAACCGCATCCCCCTTTGCGAGCTCCTGGAAAGCTCTTCCTCAGAAGGCCAACCAGGGATGATGCAGCAGCGACTCCTTGGATCGGTCCCCGTAATCGTAGGTCAGCTCCTCGCCCGGCTCGATGTCGTCCTTTGCCAGGAGTACGAGGTGTGGCCGCTGCTTGATGAGTACCACCTTGGTCATCAGGTTGCCGGCACGAGAGTGATTGATGAGGCGTCCCAGCTTGCCGGTGTCCACAGTGGCATCGATGCAGTACTGCTGGGTCTTGTGCTTGAAGTAGTACATGTAGCACCCGGCATTCTCATCCAACGCATATCGCTTCTCCCGTTCGGCGGCCTCGTTGATGGAGATGAGATCTCCCACGTACTCCACCACGAACTCGTTTCGTTTGAAGGGCCGCTCGGCGACCACACCTCTTCCCTTGCCCATGAAGTGACGGACTTGGAGACCCTCGCAGCGCTCCTCGAGCACCGCCTGCTCCAGGCCGCGCATCCATTCCTCCTTGACGGCCGTCTTGGTTTTGCGTACGCTCCTTCGCACCGGGAAGAAGTCGGTCATCTCACGGTTGCCATTGGTGGCAGCCAAGGGCAGCGGCGGTTGTCCCTTCGCTGGCCCCTTGCTTTTGGTCTTTGATTTTACAGGCGCTGGCTTGAGCATGGCTTTCATGCCCGCCTTGTTACAGTTGGCTGTGGCTGGTGCTTTGTTCTGGTTCTCCCGCTCTTCGGCGGCCTTGAGCAGGGCGTGGACATCGTCCTCGTCCTCATCATCATCGTCATCCAGCACCACAACGATGTCATCCTGCTGCTGCTGCTGTTGTGGCGGTGGTTTCTGCAATTGTGGTTGTGGCTGGTAAGGCGCTTGTGGCTTTGGCTGGTTCAGTCTTCGACGCGACTTGCAGGCGGCCACGGCCGCAGTGGTGGCGGGCAATTTCCTTGGCGACTTGCGCGGCGACAACGGATCCGTGGATCCGACCTTGCAAATCCCTCCGGTTACCTTTAAACCGGTCTTGATGGGTGAGGGGCACAGAATGCGATGCGGTGTGGCTGGTTTCCTGCGACGAGCTTGCCCCGCTGGCGATTCAGTATTGGCAGTGAGTGCACAGGCTACACCGCTGTCACAGGAACTACTGTCGTGTTGGTCCAAGTCGAAACTTGGCCCAGCCAGCGGCTCCTTTTGACCATTGAGGCTTACTATTTGATTGAAGCGCCCATTAAGGCAGGCATTTAGCACAGAAGGAGGAGATGAGAACACGGCTCCGGCCAGCTCAAAACTGCGATTAATTTTTATGCTAGAGGCTTTGGTGGGCGTGCGATCTATGTCGAGGGTAAGCACGGGTTCCTGCAGGAAGATGTTGTCAGTGCTGCTGCTGTGCGTCGAACTGTGGCTGTCCCTCAGCGCAGATCGATGGGTCTGAAAGTCGGCCAGGGAGCCGAGTCGCTCATTTAGCTCTGGAAACTCTTTGATGTGTAGGATTTCCGGCATCACTTGGATCTCCTGCATAGCCGCCATCTCTCGCTGATAGCAGGGCGAATCCGAGGAGGCTCTAGAACTGCCATCGAACAGTAGTTCCTCTACAACCTGCTGCAGTTGCAGCTCCTCCATTAGTTTTTGCTCCGCCTTGCATCTTCGTCGTCGGCAAAGGCCAGGTGCTCATTTAGCTGCTCATTTGCCAGTTCTAGCTCCTCGCCCTCCTCGTTCAGCTGTCCATTCATCTGCTTATCCTCTTGGTTTTGCTCTTCATCCACCAGCTCTAGCTGATCCTCTGTGTGTATTGTCTTTTCGGAATCCTTGACGGCAGCATTTGCTTTGAAAAAGTTTCAATAGTGCGCGTTTGCGAGCGTGTGGCCAAGGGAACGCCTGAAAAGGTGATAAACAAGGGGTACTTTAGCCACCGAAGTTAACCTCAAAAGCAGCCAGAAGCAGAAGCACTTACCTATTGTGCGACCCGCTTTGTTGTCTTTGTGATGGCCTTTGTGGTCCATCAATGTGGTTTCCGGCAGTTGACCATTTTCGCTGACCTTCATCAGTCGGCAGTCTTTCCGCTTGGGGCTGGCAAAATACTGATCCTCCAGCAGACTTCCCGCCACACTCATTGGCAGCGTTTGGTCCACCGGAATGCCAGATGCCGAGGATGGTCCTCCCCCGGAGGCGGAGGAGGATGTGGACTCCTTGGCGGTCCGTTGTCGTCTTCGCACCATTATCATTTAAAACGGGTTGGGGGCGCGTGATCGCTGGGTGGGCGGTAGTAACTTGGGGATTTTTTTCTGGTTGGCGCGTTTTTCCTGGACACGCGTTTTCCCACTCACACGCACACGCGGAAAATCAGACTGCAATTACCTGAGGGCATCCGAAAAAACGCATAAAACATTAACATTGCACATTACATTTACATGTGTGTTTTTTTCCCCCTTTTCTTGCTCTTTCTCTCTTTGCACTTTTCTCCTCTTCGCGCCCCTCTTGCGTACAGTTTTCGCCACTGAAAAAACGTCGTCGTTATTGTTGTTGCTGCTGTTGTGCGAAGCGAGTGAGCGAAGAGGAAGAAGACCAAAAGAAGGAAGAAAAAAAGAGGGAAAATAAGGCAAATGCCCGCAAAGCACCTCGCTGGGAAAACTGTCGTCACACGCAGCAGCGCATTTTCAAGCGAATGCGATCGACTATATGCATGGCAGCATCTCGATGGCGGGGGATATTAATTGTTGCACTTTTCCGCAAACTTTTTTGGTTCTTTCTCTCTTTCTTCGCGTCGGTCAGTGTTACCAGATGGGGTTTGTCACTAATCCTCGCTGTAATCGATACTATCGATGAATTTATACTAAATTTGGTATTTATATTTGCGATGTTTTTCTGTTGCCAGTGTTGAACAAAACGTGGAAATTTAAATAGAAAAAAATTTTAAGAGGAGTCTATGCAATCATAAGTGAATGATTTAATGAATGAGTATTTCAATTTGAATTTGATTACTTGTTTATAGGCAAACTATCCTTAAACACATAAGTAAAAGGTTTAACCAGCGCTCGAGAGCCTCCTATTAAAGTTGCATAGAGAAGAGCTCTGCTTGATCACTACCGAAACACTTATAAAACGACATTTGAATTACCTTTATATTTCAATTGTTTGAAACTTAAACTAATTAAAATAAAGCTAAAAATGTAGCAACCGTTATTTTTTAAACTTACCGTTGCGTCGATAACATCTTTCGATTAAATATTTTTAACTAGTCGTGACAAGTCACTGTTGGGCGACTATCGATAGGCCCGTGCATGCGATAGGCCATCACTAGAAAAACAAATATGGCGGAACGATGCGTAAAAGTAAAAAAATTGTAAAATTTCGCTGTTAAACCGACTCCAAACGAGATAATTTCGCGTTGAAACCGCGTAATGCGAACTGTGCAGCTGGTTAAATAATAAACCCGACCTTTGGCGAACCAGGAACTATTTGTGCGCCGCGCTTTGGTGGTGAAGTGGGTGATGCGATGCAATTTGACCACCAATTTGTTATTACGTGACCTCAACGCCGCAAAAACTAGCCAGGCCAAAACGCGAGTAATCCTTCACGTGCGGGCAGTGTAAAAGGGACTTGCTAGTGGCGGCAAGTGACTCCAGGCAGCCGCAATGCGATTTGACCGCCCAGCGGCAGACCACGAGTTAGCCATCGCCTGAGATGCCCAGGGGCTTGCCGGCGGGAATCAGCCAGAGCGACAGCGACAACTAGGACAGCCCCCCAGAGGAGCCCATTGAGCCCAGCCATGTCGGGGGGACGCGACAGCAGCACCAGCAGCGGTAGCAACTCGGCCGCAGCGGGCGCAAGCACGAATGCCACCTCCTCCGCCTCATCCAATGCCTCATCCGCCGCCAGTGCCACATCGCCCGCATCCACGCAACGGCAACGCGGACGGCCGGCCAAACGGGCCACATGCACCTGGTGCGGCGAGGGCAAGCTGCCGCTGCAGTACGTCCTGCCCACGCAGACCGGCAAGAAGGAGTTCTGCTCGGAGACCTGCATCGCCGAGTTCCGCAAGGCGTACAGCAAGGGGGCGTGCACACAGTGCGACAACGTCATCCGCGATGGGGCGCCTAACAAGGAGTTCTGCTCCATCATGTGCATGAACAAGCACCAGAAGAAGAACTGCTCCACCAGGCACAGCGGCGGCTCGGCATCGGGCAAGGGCCTGGCGGAAAGCGAGCGCAAGTTGCTGGCCAGTGGAGCGCCCGCGCCGACGGGGCCCTTCCAATACGAGAGCTTTCACGTCTTTGACTGGGATGCCTATCTGGAGGTGAGTCACTTTGAGTCATTCCTTAAATCCCCAATCTAACTTGTGTATTTTTTGTAGGAAACGGGTAGCGAAGCTGCTCCTGCAGAATGTTTTAAACAGGCTCAAAATCCTCCCAACAACGACTTCAAGATCGGCATGAAGCTGGAGGCATTGGATCCGCGCAACGTCACTTCCACCTGCATAGCCACCGTGGTTGGAGTGCTGGGCTCCAGACTACGGCTACGCCTGGACGGGAGTGACTCACAGAATGACTTTTGGCGGCTAGTGGACTCACGGAAATCCATGCCATTGGGCACTGCGAGAAGAACGGCGGCATGCTGCAGCCACCGCTAGGCTTCCGAATGAACGCCTCCAGCTGGCCCGGCTATCTGTGCAAGATCCTAACAACGCCATGGTGGCGCCAGAGGAGATCTTCCAACCGGAGCCACCTTCGCCGGAGGAGAACCTGTTCAAGGTGGGCCAGAAATTGGAGGCCGTCGACAAGAAGAACCCCCAGCTGATTTGCTGTGCCACGGTGGACGCCATCAAGGATGACCAGATCCATGTGACTTTCGACGGCTGGCGAGGGGCCTTCGACTACTGGTGCAACTACCGATCGCGTGACATTTTTCCCGCTGGGTGGTGCGCCCGAAGTTGTCACCCCATGCAGCCACCAGGGCACAAATCACGCATGGACTCTAGCTCCAGCAAGCAGCGATGCCCGCGTCCCCGCTACACCGTAGTTGCCGAATCGGAGGCTATGGTTCCCGCTTCTCCGGCAACCGCCCACTTCCATCCGAACTGCAAGGGAGGTCCGTTCATCAACAACTCCAAGCTGCCGTGCATGGTGACAGGGCCGACGTACCAAACGTTGGCCAAGCTGTGCCTGCAGGAGGTTTTGGCAGCTAGCACAGACACGCAACAGCTCTCCAAGCTGCTGTTGCCTTGGAAGGAGACGTTCATATAGTTACGGCAGCTGGAAAAAATTTCACTGTGAGTTTAAGACCCCTTTAACTCATAAACAACAATTATTATTTTTGAAAGAGCAACTCATCCTTACTATTTTCACTTTCTAAAGGTCAAAATACCCTCTCCGCTACGGATGAAGGATGACGAGAGCTTGGCCCAATTTATCGAGACGTTGTGCACTACATGCCGGGCATGTGCGAATCTCATCTCCCTGGTCACGAGACGGAGGAGTGCAAGAAGTGCGCCAACAGTCGGAAGCGCACGCTGACGCAGTCAGCAACGCCGCCTTCTTCGCCAGTGCTTGCCGACAAGCGAAATCGTCAGTCGACCGCGGCAACGACTCCGCCCTCTGAAAAGATCATCAAGCAGGAGGTCGGTGCTAAGTCGCCCGTCGAGAGCAAGCCGAAAACACCGACGAACAACGGAAAGGAACCCACAAACCATCAAAGCAGCCACAGTCTCAACAACAACAGTGCCAGCAAGCCCAGCAGCACAAAGTGTCATAAAGACAGAGCCCAACGGAGTGACTGCCCAGACGACCTCCACAACGCAGGCTCTGCGGAAAGTACGATTCCAGCACCACGCAAATAGCAACAGCATTGTGGCCAATGGAAACCCGGACGCAGCCAGACCACGCCCGTTTCCAGCAGCCATTGCAGCAGCAGCTCGTCAACATCCTCCACCACAAGCCTGGCCGGAGGATCAGCCAACACCAGCTCAATTGGCAAATATCTGGCGCCTCTGGTGGCCGAAGTGCATCCAGAGCAGGTTAACGTTAAGCCCTCGAACAGCTATTACAAGAGTCCGACGACGCTCTCGTCTAGCGCCTCGTTGCCCACATCCGTGTCCACGCCTTTCACGGGCTGCCAGTCAGCCTCGTCCACTGCACTGGCTGCAGGCGGAGTTACGGCGGCCAAGGCGGCTACTGCGCCAGCAGGAGCAGCGGCAACTGCGGCTGCTTCCACGAGCTATACCGCGATTACCTCACCCCTGAGCACACCCACGTCTGCTTCGGCGAACTCGCATCTGCGGTCGCAGCCCATCGACTGGACCATCGAAGAGGTGATCCAGTACATCGAGAGCAACGACAACTCCCTCGCAGTCCATGGCGATCTCTTCCGAAAGCATGTATGTAGTCAAAACACCTTTAATTTTCAGCGATCGATTTATGACATTTTCGTTTTCAGGAAATCGATGGTAAAGCTTTACTATTGCTAAATTCAGAGATGATGATGAAGTACATGGGCCTCAAGCTAGGACCAGCCTTAAAAATCTGCAATTTAGTGAATAAGGTCAATGGTCGTCGAAATAATCTGGCACTCTAAAATAACACTAACTTGCAAGCTTTGGACTCTGATCGAGTTGGACTTACATAGAAATTGTTAACAAATTAGTACCTCCCTCTAACGTAAAGCGAAGCAAACATGAACGATATTCACAGATGTGTTATGTGTTGGCCATTCATATAGAGAAACCCCTTACCTTATTTTATTATATTGATAATATCAAAGGAAGAACCGCGCAAAATTGAAAGAAATCGCGAAAACAAAAGTTCCCCATACAAAACAGTCGCATAACAATTTATAGACAGCCATGCTCCGGTTTTCAAAACCGTTATTATTAATTTGTATTTAACTGATCGTGTTTCATTTTTGGAAAACGCCTTAACAAGTGTAATTAGGTACCTAAAATTTATTAAAATCCACTACTATACATTTTCTGTAGAAGTAGGCGGGATACTGTGCTCGAATTAAGCATGATTTGTATTATATTCAAAATTACCCAGTCAAAGAAGTATACGTTCATAAGTAATATTAAGTTGAACGAGCTGTTTTTAAAAAGTGAAATAATTCCCTATTTTGTACGAAAACTGGAGCTGCGCAATGCACTTACATGATATTTATTACACATAAACACGCACATTAGACACCAAAATCTATCCGACACAAAAAATGATATTTAACATTAGAATAGGGCGAGAAAACAAACAAATATAAAGTGAATGTACATATTTTACATATAATTTTGTAATTATGTATCAATTGCGTTTCCTAACTATAACAATATTTAATTAGTCATTAAACAGATTGATTATATAATTTCTTTTAAGTTATTGAAATTGAATATCAATTTTTAGTTAAATCAACAGCAGTTAAGGTCATTTTTGAAAGTAAGAACCGCTTCCTCTACAAGTTTTGCAATATATGCGATATAATGAGTAACATTTGGTCGTGTAAAGTATTGCAATAAGTCTCATTATGTTTACCCAACAACCACTTATAAATACAAAATTTAAATAGAGCTAACTGTATATATCATTACGTAATAAACATATTACAATTTGTTCTATTTTCAACCGAAAAAAAAGTATCTCAAAGATATAACTCGGAATGGAGCTGGTAAGCTATATTTGGGTAGAGCCAATAAAATCGTTATTTTATTTTTCGTTATTTACTAGTTTATATTTTTCAGATAGAGTTTTTCTAAAATGTCGTTCATCAATAGATAAGACCGGGTAATTGGCAACTTACGGCACCATTATATTAATGACTGCACACACTTTGGGAATTGTGAAAGGTTTACCGAATGCTAATAATTAAAAAAATTTGTATTATTGTCATATTTATTTTTAACAAACAGATACATTTTTTGACAACTTGGTCATTCGTAAAAATGCTTTTGCACCCAGCGCGGCAGGGCAAAGGCAGCCGTATGGACCTCAGAAGAATAGTACTTCAGGTCTATGGCATCGATTTCAGACTTTCCAAGTTTGGGAGTGGCAAATTCCTGATTTTTGTTCAGAGATCCCATGACGAAGCCAATGTGGCCGCATGGATAGGATGGAACGGAGGTGACGGCATAGGCCACTTTGGCGAAATGCTCCTTGCAGCCCTTCATTGTCTTCTTGATGTAGTCCAGGTCCAGCCAGAAGCTACCGCCCTGGGAGCACACAATGCCATCGTCTTTCAGGGCGTGCTTCATGAGCTCGTAGTAGCTCTCCTGGAACAAGCTCACGGCCGGACCGATTGGATCCGAGCTGTCGGTGATGATAACATCAAATTCGTTTTTGTGCTTCTTCATGTAGTCAAAGCCGTCGCCGATAGTGAGCTTTAATTTCTTGTTCTCGAATCCGCAGGCCATTTCCGGTAGATATTGCTTGGACAGCTCGACTACGCGGTCGTCGATTTCCACCTGATGCACTTCCTCGACCAACGGATGCTTCACCACTTCGCGAGCTACGCCGCCATCACCGCCGCCCACGATGAGCACCTTCTTGGGATTGGGATGGGCGCAGAGCGGCAGGAAGGATATCATTTCCTGGTAAGAGAACTCGTCCCTGGCCGTGCACTGGATGATTCCATCCAAAATCAAGCATCGTCCATAGGTTTCGCTGAAAGAGAATTAACAATTATTGATTTTTTCAGCGGCAAAGTGTACCCCCCAATGTTCGACTGGAAGAATTCAAGTCTGGAAACTAACTCGCTATCAGTTTTTTTCTTTCGTTTTTGGCCTTAGATGACCACATCGATAAGGCTCTGGCGATCAAGAATAAACACACATTTCGAAAGGGTCGAAAACGCTGCCTCGGCGGCTTGTATTTGTGTACTCAATGGAAAATTTTGGCTTCCATATATGGGATAAACACAACTGGGATTACAGTTTTAACTATCTACTTTTCAAACTTTTAATAATACTGAACGTTCTTGATATAGTGAATTCTATAACATAAGACGAATAATAAAAAAACTCAAGTCTCCACTGAGCAGTTAAGAATGTAAACAAATGCTTTTATCTAAATCTAATCAAGTATTTGTTTATTTATTTATTTGGAACTCACGTTTCAACAATCTGGATGTCCTGGAACTTGGACTTTTCCTTGTGGATTACCTCCTTGACCTTCAGGGAGAAGGACTGGCCAGGCCACAGATCAGCCTGAAGCTCGCTGAACCATCCGTTATTTAGCGAATCCATTTGTTTAATGCGGCATTTGATAAGATTGGCTCAACAATCTGCACGTGGGTTTCAAACGAACGTACCATATCTTCCACAAAGCTAGGTCTTAAAAAATACCTTCGGGTAGTTATTTTAGTATAAATACCAAACCGTTTATAATTGAATTGTTTTATTTTGAATTTCTTTAGTGCCCAGAACCTACTTATAACAAATCATCAAGATAAGAAACAAATTAATATTGAGTCATTAATTATTTTTCTAAAAAATAAATTTAGTTTATGTAAGTTGTTTAGCAGTTTAAAAAGAAAGGTTTCTAAGTTAAATGAAGAAAGATACAGCAATGGTCGATATAACAATAGTATTTTAACGTTTCGAAAAGGAAGAAAAATATTTGTAAGTATCGCAGATATAAAAATCTTTTTTAATCCAATGCAATGCTAATTTCGAAGAGATTAATACTCGTTTTAAATTTTGATTTTATGTTATGAAGTAAGTTTTTATTAATTTTTTAGTCGAGGCCATCGAAAACTCGTAAAAAATACTGAATAAAAGCATTGACTAGTTGGGTTTATTCAGGGATATTTTTCGATAATAATCGCTTACTCACATTATTTTGGTCTATCGTGGGCAGCTCCGCACTAGGCGACAGCAAAAGCCCCGGACTTCGCTTTCAGTCGCAGGTTGAGTCTTATCCAGTCCAAGTTCTTTTATTGGGCCTACTGAATTTGAGCACTGTTGAATTGTGAAACTATTTTCGATTAGGTCCTCGTTCGGGATCTTAATGAACTAATAATGAAAAAATAATTGTTTTTGTACAGAATAAAATCCACGAGGACAGGATACCGAATACCAGCCTGTAGAGCACGTGCCCTTCCGCAAGGAGCAAGTCGACAGAGATCGTACCGGATTTCCATCTACTGGTTGTACTCTTTTTTAATTACCGTCCTTTCGCTCCTTTTTTGTTTGGCATGGGATTGTAACGTCTCTGTTTTCTAAGCTATTAAAAATGTTATCCATTTTTTGTAATATCAGACACTTGCATGCCTCGCTGACCATTTCCAGGGACTCATTATCGGCGAGGCAAAACAAGAGGCTTTTAAGTAAGCCAACTATGCAGACCAGTTATTTATTAGCTGGCTCTTCCTTTACTGTACTTGTACTTGTACTTGTACTTTACCTACTTGTACCGGTTTTAATTGAGTTCGGAAACGTTATTATTTGTTACGTTACCTTACATTACGTTATTACCTTCGTTACCTGCATTACTCCCGATTTTTTGCACTTATACGTGCGAACTGGCAACACACTGTTGAATTGTGAAACTATTTTCGATTTGCTCTCTTTCGGGATCTTAATGAACTAATGATGAAGAATAAAATCACGAGGACAGGATACCGAATACCATCCTGTAGAGCACGTGCCCTTCCGCAAGGTGCAAGGCGACAGAGATCGTACCGGATTTCCATCTACTGGTAGTACTCTTTTTTTTTGTCGTCCTTCCGCTCCTTTTTTGTTTGTCATGATGTCATCCATTCTTTGTAATATCAGACACTTGCATGCCTCACTGACCATTTCCAGGGAATCGTTATCGGCGAGGCAAAACAAGAGGCTTTTAAGTAAGCCAACTATGCAGACCAGTTATTTCTTAGCTGGCTCTTCCTTTACTTGTACCGGTTTTAATTGAGTTCGGAAACGTTATTATTTGTTACTTTACGTTACGTTACGTTATTACCTTCATTACTCCCGATTTTTTGCACTTATACGTGCGAACTGGCAACACACTGTTGAATTGTGAAACTATTTTCGATTTGCTCTCTTTCGGGATCTTAATGAACTAATGATGAAGAATAAAATCCACGAGGACAGGATACCGAATACCATCCTGTAGAGCACGTGCCCTTCCGCAAGGAGCAAGGCGACAGAGATCGTACCGGATTTCCATCTACTGGTTGTACTCTTTTTTAGTTACCGTCCTTTCGCTCCTTTTTTGTTTGGCATGGGATTGTAACGTCTCTGTTTTCTAAGCTATTAAAAATGTTATCCATTTTTTGTAATATCAGACACTTGCACGCCTCGCTGACCATTTCCAGGGACTCGTTATCGGCGAGGCAAAACAAGAGGCTTTTAAGTAAGCCAACTATGCAGAACAGTTATTTCTTAGCTGGCTCTTCCTCTACTTGTACCGGTTTTAATTGAGTTCGGAAACGTTATTATTTGTTACGTTACGTTACGTTGTTATTACCTTCATTACTCCCGATTTTTTGCACTTATACGTGCGAACTGGCAACACACATTCACACGGTGTTTTTTCTTTTTCTTTCTGGCGGGGGAAGACGATTTTGATAGGGATAGGAATAGTGGTGGGGATGCGGAGGAGAAGTTAAAATGTACCACTTTTTCTGGCCAATTCCCATTATTGAATAGTCGTTAAAATAATTGTGTTCTGGTACACTTTTACATAAGACCAATTTTGACAAGTCTCCCAAAATCTTGTTTTTGGATTTGTGATAATAATATAAGTCAAATAAGTCATGATAAGCCGTAGAATGCAAATGGACAAGAAAATCGTCTTCGGAATATAACATTTTTAACTCAAAATTAATTTTGTTATATTTGCGGATTTTTTATTTTTCATTACGAGGAAGATTTGACAAGTTCGTTATGTAGGCTCCCCAAATTCTCGCAGGGAAAATAAGACTTATCTCCAAAAACCCCCATTTTCCCCACAAAAACAGATTTCCAAACCCTTTCAAGAAAAATTATAAGTATGGAAGGAATTCCTACTCCCGCCCTTCTCACCAAACCTTCGTAGAAGATAAGTGGTTTTGGTTGTTGGTTTTTCGAATAAGAAATTGGCAGTTTAGTAAGGCTAAAAAAGCATAATAATTAATAAATTGGTCTAGAAAACTTAATCGTCTGCCAAAGAATAGCGAATCAAGTCCTTTTTGATAAGAGGTTGGATATATAACATGTATACTAAATTTTGTATCGCGATACGAACCATATTTAACCATGTATCCATGTTGTTACGACCAAGTTGCCACAAAGTAAAGTTAATTTAACGGAAATTACTAAAACAAACATACATTAAAAAAATAAAACAAAGCATATTCTAGACGATTTGGCGCCTGAGGATTTTAAAGAATTCAAGCAGCGGCATCGTACTGCCTGGTTTGCCTAGTGCTGAGTCGCCGCAAATCGAAATATACCAGCGTTATCTAAAAAATACCACTGTTATCTAAAAAATACTTTTGAACATCTCTGGTTTCCAATACCCAAACCTATGTAGAATAGAAGTGGTTTGGTTATGGATTTTTGGAATTAAAAAAACTGACTGCTTAAGAAAACTAAAAATTCTGCAAGTTGGCACAACATCTGTGAAAGTTTTAACAATTGATTAAATGTAGGAATCGAGAACTCCATGTTTTTCATGAGGTAATGTTACCGATGGGCATTTTACATGGTGGTGCATGTCTTGGAACCGAGTGGTTCCAGTTCCAGATTCGTCTACAACTAAATACACAGCAACTTCAAAATATGATGTGATATTTTAAAAACAACTATAACTGTTCGATTATTACAATTGTACAAAGAACTTAACAGGTAAATAATTTGATAAAATACTTTTTAGATGGCTAACGGTCACTTTAGTGTTTCTAATTCCAGCTCAACTTCAGGGCAGCATTCGATTCGTATCGAAATCACCCCTGAGAGAAGGCAACGGAACGTGGACCAATCAAAATGTTCCAGCAAATCGCAGCCATTGGCCGTCCCGCTCCGACACGCTCGATTCAGATGCAATAAATAAATAGCACTTTTCTTGCCGGCATTTAGCATTTAACTTTAACCGAGTTCGGACCACCATCCATCGGAGTTGGAAGAGTCAGTCCAGAAAGTAGTGCGGGATGTTCACATGATGTGGTGCAAATCAGTTGTTGTGTTGCTGGCGACGGTCGGCATTATTAGTGCCGAAGTCTACCTAAAGGAGAACTTCGATAATGGTAAGTAAATCACGGCCCCCATGTGGTGGTCTCCAGTGTGAGAAAAAAGAGAACCGAGAAAACCAACAAAAAACCGCCGCCTCTTCCGCAGAAAACTGGGAGGATACGTGGATCTACAGCAAGCATCCTGGCAAGGAGTTCGGAAAATTCGTCCTCACCCCCGGCACCTTCTACAACGACGCCGAGGTCGACAAAGGTATGTGTCACTCCCTTTCTTTCCGTCGTTCCGTCTTTCTTTTTTCCAAATCTTCCATTCCGTTCCGTCGTCGTCGTTCTGCCATTTTTATTTTTTCATCGCCGCGTTATCTACATATGTGCGCTTGTGCTTGTGTAGAGAAAAAACCACTACGTGTACGTTTTTCGATTCCGTTTTCGTTTTCGAGTAGCTATAGTAACAGTATACACACTTTTCCTCCCCACCCCAACCCAACCACCAATCACTGGAATCATCATCCATGGCTGTTCTCCTCCCATCCAGGCATTCAAACCTCGCAGGATGCCCGATTCTACGCGGCCAGCCGCAAATTCGATGGCTTCTCCAACGAGGGCAAGCCCCTCGTGGTGCAGTTCTCCGTGAAGCACGAGCAGAACATCGACTGCGGCGGCGGCTATGTGAAGCTGTTCGACTGCTCCCTGGACCAGACCGACATGCACGGCGAGTCGCCGTACGAGATCATGTTCGGCCCGGACATCTGCGGTCCCGGCACCAAGAAGGTCCACGTGATCTTCAGCTACAATGGCAAGAACCACTTGATCAGCAAAGACATCCGCTGCAAAGATGACGTGTACACCCATTTCTACACGCTGATTGTGCGTCCCGACAACACCTACGAGGTGCTCATCGACAACGAGAAGGTGGAGTCCGGCAACTTGGAGGACGACTGGGACTTCCTGGCCCCCAAGAAGATCAAGGACCCCTCGGCCACCAAGCCCGAGGACTGGGACGATAAGGTAAGGTTCACTCCCCCTCCCCCCTACCCCTTCCCTTGCCGGCTTCGGCAACCAAAACCTAAAACCGGTTCAACTCATTGTTATTAAACAACAACGTATACCCATTGCCCTTATAGGCCACCATTCCCGATCCCGATGACAAGAAGCCCGAGGACTGGGACAAGCCAGAGCACATCCCCGACCCCGATGCCACCAAGCCCGAGGATTGGGACGATGAGATGGACGGCGAGTGGGAGCCACCGATGATCGACAACCCCGAGTTCAAGGGTGAGTGGCAGCCCAAGCAGCTGGACAACCCCAACTACAAGGGCGCCTGGGAGCATCCCGAGATCGCCAACCCGGAGTATGTGGCCGACGATAAGCTGTATCTGCGCAAGGAGATCTGCACCCTGGGCTTCGATCTCTGGCAGGTCAAGTCCGGCACCATTTTCGACAACGTCCTCATCACGGACGACGTGGAGCTGGCCGCCAAGATTGCTGGCGAGGTCAAGGCCACCCAGGCCGGTGAGAAGAAGATGAAGGAGGCCCAGGATGAGGTGCAGCGCAAGAAGGACGAGGAGGAGGCGAAAAAGTCTTCCGACAAGGATGACGAGGACGAGGATGATGACGATGAGGAGAAGGATGAATCTAAGCAAGACAAAGATCAAAGCGAACACGACGAATTGTAAGGACGTTTAGGAAAAATTGCGTCGAAAAATATTCGGTATTTTTTGTATATTGGTTGCTGCTTTGATGTTCTAAGCAAACGGAAACCACAATTACAATTTGTAAGACTTATAATTTATAAACATACAACTTGTTGTTTTATTTCGAATGCTCTTCTGGGCGTTTTAGGGGTTGATATCTCTTGTTTGTTTATGAAGACGAAGGTACCACGTGGCCAAAACGCATACGAATGGCAACGCTGCAATCGTATCTATAACGATTTTCGTTTTGAATGGAAACCGGTTTGGGTTCGCCTTTTGGAATCATTTTAAAGTGATTTTTTTTTTCTTTTTAGAAATCCAGTTTTAGAAACGCGCATACGCATACGAATGCCGATAATAATAAGTCTCAAAGCCATTTTTAATTAAACGTAAAAAACCGAAACAACTTGCGTATTCGATTGAACCGCCGTAAATGCTTATGCCTAGAAGTATCACTCCAATTCCAGTGGCTGTTCGTCGTCCCGATGCTTGCCCAGGAAGTGGCGTTTTAGGTGGTGCTTCTCCCGGAAGTCCTGTGGGCAGATGGAGCACTTTAGGGCCGTTCGTCTGTGTGGCGTCGCCGGTGCTTAGCCATGTTGCTGATGTCCGAATAGGTTTTGGGGCAATGCGGACATTTGTAGGGCTTCTCGCCCGTGTGCGTCCGAGTGTGCACCATGAGAGCCTGCCTGGAACGGAAGTTGGACGCGCAGTAGGAGCAGGAGTATGGCCGCTCGCCCATATGGGCGTGGATATGCACCTTGAGGGCGGACTTATTGAAGAAAGCCGCCTGGCAGTATGAGCATCTATGGGGCCCTTCGCTCAGGCTGGGATCAGGATGGAGCAACAGGTGAGCCTTGAGTTGTTGATCCTGGCTGAAGGTTTGCGGGCAGTGGGGGCACTGGAAGGGCCGTTCTTCTATCTCCGCGCATTTGTGCTTATCCAGTTTTGGGTGTTCGAAAAGACCTTCAGGCAAACGGGACATTCTACGTGGAATCGCTGGTGTGGTAGCACTGGTGCTTGTCCAGATCGCTTTTGAACAGGAAACGCTCTCCGCAGTCTTTGCATACGTGGGAATTGCTGTGAATTCTGTGGGTTATGGGACATGAATGAGTAACAGTTAAATCCTTGACTCTGTGTACTTACTTCATGTGTTCCAAGAGGTTTCTTTGGTGGGTGAACTCCTTGATGCAGAGCTCGCACTTGATGGACAGTTTCTTTCTAGCTTTTGGCTGTCTGATTGCTCTACTAGTACTTTTGGTTGTGGTTCGCTCTTTTTGGTAGCAATTTTAGGTGGCTCTTCTTGGAAAGGTGGGTCCTCGGGGTTTCGTCGATAAACTCCTCCTTCACATTCAGATCCCCGTCAAACAGGTCCTCAATAACCAGATAGTCCTCGTTGGGTTCCTCCTTGATGAACTGCTGATTGCTTAACGCCAAGTAGAACTTCCTGTAGCTTTCTTCGCATCTCCGCTTGAATCCGTAGGCAGTTCTTGCGTCGTGGACACAGGCAATGCAATCTTTTGGGGCAGGGAATCGTCAGGATCTAGCTGAACGTCGGCACAACTCCTGACCATCTCGGCGAGATGGGGTTCCACTTCTCCTTTGAGACCCTGTTGGCCCTCATCGTCGAAAATGCCCACCAACGTTTTGGAGTGGCCCCCACATATTCGGCACAAGTCCTCCATATTTAATCGCAATTTAGGACCGGCTCGTATTTGTAGTAAACATAAGAGACGATTAAATCTTTTGTTTACTTTCTTGTTTGTCTACGGCTTAGTAGGGATGGACGTTTTTAACGTGACTTCCAGTGACCAGGTAATGACAAAAGCATTTTAAAAAACATTTGTGTTTTACCTTTTATAAATTATGTATCTTTTCCAGGGCAAAATAATGCTTTTACTTCAATTTTGAATTTTTTTGTTGACCCTAAAACCTCGCGGGGATGATCGATCGCTTTGTTGCTCCTAGCAATACTGCCACATTGACCATAAACAATTTCGATTTTTTTACTAGTTGTGAAATCGTTTCACTGAGTCACTGTTTTTTAAAATACCAGCTATCGATAACGGTCGCTTATCGTTTAAATTCAAACTGCCGGGCTTCTACTAAAAAAAAATTAGCTTGTTTAGTTAAATTAAAAACCTAAACGACTAACAAATATGTTTTGCTGCTTTTCCTTAAAAAATAATTAAAAACACTCCATTTATGCAATAGAATCGAGAACACCATAACATTGCATTTTAAACGGTGCCGTGAAATTTAATTAATGTGTAAGCGGATAATTCAGTTTCAAGTTGCCATATTTATTAAAATCATGAACAGAATAAGTGTGAATATATTTTTAAGTATTTTCTTGACCTTTGTAATATGGCAGATTTATTTATATCATTCGATTATTGAACAATTATGCGGCGAAATTAAAGAACGGCTCAAATTGAATATGAAACAGGTAAGATCTTGTAACCCAAAAATGATGAAGTTTATTAACCTTCGAAATAAGTCAACATTGATCATGGTCCCTAACATTTGTAGTTAGCTTACGGTGTGAATTTTTATATGTGGATCCGTGATTAGGCGGTTTTTTTTTCGAAATAAGCTGAATCAAGAAACCGGCTTACCTGTGAGAACGCCGAAGAGAGGTGGTAAAACAGCTCTCCCCTTTTCAGTGCGGTGCTGGCCGAAATTAAGCACCGAATGTGACAAAACGGCGCTCAGTTGTTGAACTAAAATCGAATCCGACGGTCGCATAAACTTGGGCTTGGCATTCGCGAAGGCAAGCCAACGGAAAGCACCTTCATTCTCGCACCTAATTGAAGGCCAATCGATTTAAGTACCTAAAGCACAAAATACCATCTAAAAAAGATGTTGAAGTTGGCTACTGCTTTAAGCCTTTTACTCCTGATCCTGGCTTTTGGCTGGGCTGAACTTGAGGAAGACCCCGGGAAAAGCGTCAGTCGAACAAGGTTTGATTTATCTCATCTTAAAAAGCAATTATAATACTTACAGTTTATAACAGATCTGACATTTATAAAGACATTTTAATCAAAAGGTTTCAGCTGTTTAAGTTTAACATTTAAGCGGAACTCAGAACTTTTATTATGTAAATTTCTTTTCAACTTGAATCTACATGTATAGTATGCAAAATTAATAATGCATTTTCTTATGAGATCCATAACGAACAGAACTTAATTTTAATCTGATTCTAATCGGCTTATTATTTCAATTAAAGCTGACTATTTATTCTTTTGATATTTCAAGTTATTTTGATTTCTTCCAGCTTCACGTAACGCTGCTCTACGAGTCCTTGTGTCCGGACAGCCGGAACTTCATGCATCAGCTGGGACCCGTTTACGAGGAGTTCCAGGACTACATTGACATTCTGCTGGTGCCCTTCGGAAATCCCAGTCGGAGCGGAATGGAGCCATCTTCCACTGCCAACACGGACCGGCCGAATGCAAGGGTAATCGCCTCCAGAGTTGCGTCATCAACAGCACCGGAAACCAGGCGGCCCAGGTGAAGTTCGTGGTCTGCCAGATGCTGGCTCCGGACTACTCCCGCATCGATGAGGTATGGTGTTTGTCCAACTGACTGATGGGTACCTATAATATCTTGCACATCCCATCCGCAGTGTGCCAATGAGGCGGGTCTGCTCACCGATGTGGTCCACTGCCTGTCCAGCGAGACGGGCACCAAGCTGCAGCTGCAGGCGGAGCTGGTGACCAAACAGTACAGCCCGACTTCATTCCCACCATCGTTTACAATGGCGTAAGTTCCCGCGATCGATCGATCGCAGCCGTAATCGAATGCACTTAACTGGTTTTCTCATACTACGTATTCGTATTTCTATTTCCACATGCAACAGGTCTTCGATCAGCAGCTGCAGGACCATTCGCTGCGCGATTTCCGCGGCACGGTTTGCTACTTGTTGCGTCAACAAAACTTGCTGCCCAGCAGCAGCACAATCTGCCAGTAGATCTGCTAAATGTTCAATGTAACTGCCTCAAGTTTGGAATGAAATTAAAATTGAGAAACTGGTTTCTTTAACCGAACAAGAATGTCTGTCTCCAAAGGGGATTGGTATGGCAGAAATATGTGAAACAAAAAGGTCACGAAGAAAAACCATTACAAAATTGGTCTAGACACTAGTTTACAGGATCTTGGAAATGTTTGTAAATATTTAACCAATTTTGCTCATAATCTTTCTCCGTAAAGCCATATATCATTCAGATAATAATTTATATTGGTACGTAAGATACAGTTCATCAATTACAATCGTGTAGATATATATAGTACATGCAGTGCTTAGGGCATCTAGTTTATTTACAGGGGCGTACAATATAAATTCATTATTTTTGGAATAGGGGGCACATATCGATGATGGGATGGGAAATGGATGGGAATATCGTTAGGTCTTCCTCTTGATGAACCAACAACAAATGACTTATCGACTAAGTGCTAATGGCTAACCTACAACTAGGGTTTCAATTTCTTGCACTTTGTGTTTGCTTTGTTTGCTGACGGGTGTGCAGAAATAACAATTTGTAGACGGGTTTCCGTTGTGATTAAAGCATTTCCTCAGACGGCGGTGCCCGGAGCCTTGCCAGCGGATGAGGTGCCGGTGGCCACATTGAGGCTGAGCGATCGCCGTGGAGCCGGCTTTGGGGGAATCTGTGGCTTGACCGTCGCAATCTTGGCCAGAGTTACGCTGGCCTCACTAATAAGCGGCTGCTGACCAGGTCGCTCCTTCTCCTGGAACTCCACATAGCCGCTCTCGTCGCTGTCGGAGTCTTCAGCCGGATGGTCACTCCTCTCCTGCTTGTCCAGTTCCAGTTCATCACTGCCGGAATTGCTGCGCTTCAGCGTAATGCTGCTGGAGCTGCTGTAGTTGGTTGCATCACCGCTGTTGTTCCGCAGCTGCTGCTCCAGTCTTTGGTAGATCATCATCTGCTCCAGCACCTGCTCCTGCTGCAGCTCCAAGTCCGGCGACTGCTCCAGCTGGCCGGGATCGCTGTCCCGCTTGCCGTTGAATTCCTCGTGGTTGGCATTGGTGACTGTGCTGGCCGTCTCGCAGCCGCTTGATATCGATCCCTCGTCGCTGTCCGGACTGGCCAGGCCCTGCTGGTTGGATCCTCCGCCCGCTGCAGCCGAAGTGCTGGCCGTCGTCGAGCTCGACGCATTGGAGGAGATCGATGACTGCGCCTGGTGGCGGTACTTCAAGCTCCCTTGATCTCCAGCCCTCATCTTCCTCATCGAGCTGCGGTGCAGCATGGTCAGCATGGCCGCATGCCGGAAGTAGTGGTCGTCCGCATCGTCCAGGAAGTCCTCCTCGCCGTCACTGCACACGCCACTGCGACGCGGGCGGACACTTCATGATCCTCGGCATTGTAGTCCGCCTCCGGATCCGCACTAGGGTCGCTGTTGATCGTGGGCAGCAGGCTCAAAGGCTCGCCCTCCTCCTCCTTCAGATCGCTGAGGCTCACCATGCTCTGGCTGCTGTTCTTGTGGAGCTGCATGTCGAAGTACGGCAACAACTCGTTGCTCAGGGTTGTGTCAAACTTCAGCAGCTTCTCAAAGTCATCCGAATCGGAGCCATCGTTAGCGGGACTGCTCACAGCGGCCACCTCCTCCTGGGGCAGCTCCTTCTGCGCCATGTGCGAGCTGCAGCAGGGCGAGAAGGACTGGATCTTGCCCGTCCTCCGAATCGAGTGGCCGCGACGACAACGGCGCCTGCCCAGAGTCATGGCCGGATAGAGGGAGTCCTTCTGACAGCAGGGCATCATCTCCGGCTCATTGGTGTCCTCGATCTCGTCGCCCTCCTCCTCGCCAATGGCCTCCTCGATGGCCATCAGCTTGGGCGCCGACTTGGAGCGCTCCAGCGGCGGTCGGTAGTTGTTGCCGCCCACACTCAGCATGATCTTGCGGCGCGGCAAGCTCGGGTTGTCGTAGACGGCGTTGGCCAAACTCAGGCGAGCGTTTTGCTTCAGAATTTTCTCACGCTTAAATTCACGCAAAGCGCTCTCCAGGTTTTCCTAGGGAATAAAGCAAAAATTATAGATTAGAAATGGTTTAAGCAAAATTAAGGATTCAAGAACATTCAAGAAATTTCTTCTCCGAAAAGCTGATCCTAAGAACAAAAAAAAATACACAGTAAGCAATAAATACTTTAATTTTGACAAGCTCTTAAGAGATTGTACAATACATTGGTACATAATACCATCAAAAAATCCCTTGATAAAAATAAAGCGTTTGTCATGGTTATTCCCGTACTCGACTTAAAATACGGAACCCCTTGAATTTAATCTGACATTTATAAATAGCTTTATATGGGAGCCCAGTTACTCAAGATACACAACTCATACTCTCCATTCTTTTACGCTTAAAATTAGTGGCCCCAACTCACCCTCAGGGTATCGCAAATGTCCTGGGCGATCTTCTCCTTGCTGCAGAGCACCGCATGGCAGCGTAGCTCGTGCTTCAGCTTCCTGCCCTCGTGGCGATAGATCCAGCAGAAGACCCGCGGATAGTTCTTCGGTGCGCAGCAGTAGGTGATCCTGTGGGCCCAGTACTCCGTGAGCCATGCTGCCGGGTGGTGGCCTTCAAGCCCGAGGCACAGACCTTCAGTCGCATGATCACATCCGGTTTGGAGTGCTGGGTGTAGTTGCGCCACAAGGTGTTCAGCTGCTTCTCCACACAACCCTCTCCTGCTAAAATAGTATAAGATTAGTATGGTTTCTTTTTGGGATTTCACACCTACTCACCCTTGGCCCAGCCGGTTAGGACATTTCCCAGATAGGACACCTTGAACTCGGGGTCCGGAGTGCTGATGTCCACGCTGTGGGTGCGTCGCCAGAGCTTGCCCAACTCCGGGTGAGCGTGCGAATGGCCTTGGAGCTGAGCTGATCGTGCTGCTGGTCGTGACCACCAGTGCGACCCACATGCTCCTGCCGGCTGCCGTACTGCAAGTCCCGCGAGTCCGTCGTGAGGGTGATGACATTGGTGACCCTCACGCAGTCATCCTCGCCGGCCACATCGCCGTCCTCCTTGGACACGCGCTTGAAGCGCTCCAGATAGGGACCTCCGCGACCACGCCTCCCGCTGTACGTGTTGAACTTGCCGCCCTCGGAGCTGGCCAAACGCTTCTGCTCCTGCTTCTCGAACTTCTTGGCATTGTAGGTGTTGCCCAGCAGCCTGGCCAGGCTGTTGCTCTTCACGAACTTGTGTTGTCGCGGCGGTGTGCCAATAGGCACTGGCGGCAGGGCAGCTGGCGGGGATGTGGCCTGGTTGCCATCCTTGCTGGCCGCATCCTGGCTATCCTGTGACTTGCTCTGGCTCAGCTTCTTGCTGCTGCTGCTGCCAAAATGGAAGAGGGTGCGACGCTCCTTGGTCTTTTTCAGGGTGTTGCTGTTTGGTTCGTTGTTTGGTGTTGCTGTTGCGGCTGTTGCTGCCGTTGTTGCTGTTGCGGATGTTGTTGACTCCACTGCTGCTCCTTTGGTGTTCATCACCGCCTGACTCACTGCACTTAAATCCTCATAATCGTTGTTATTGTTGTGTGTGGCCACTATAAAGTCAACCTCATCACAACCCTCGGAAGTGTGCTCCATTGGGGATTTGGTGTTGCTGTCTGCCATTTTGACTGAACTTCCCGATGTAACCAATCAATAACCTTTGGTTAAGAGCATGTTACAGAAGATCTGCAAGTTAGAAAGGAATTTCAATTAATATAATTAGCATTTATCAAATAAAAAGTGCGAAAAAGGCTGAAATTGGCCTGTTAAAAATTTAATTGCTCAATAATTCCTTTTGGGAATCACATTAGGGAAAATTGGGAACCCACTCAATTGCACTGGCTTAAAAACAAAATAAACAGGGGAAAATTACTGCATTAAAACATTAGTTTCCGCTGGCTCATCGTAAACAAGATTATTTTTAATCAAAAATATACAAAATACTGGAATGATTCAATTATTACATATCTCCAAAGTTCTCTTTGTCTTTTTGCATATTTATTCAAAATGACACATATTATTTCAAGGAAATGTTGTCATTTCTCTGCTGTTTATAAGTGATTTACAAATTCTTTAATCATATATCAACCCTAAATGTTTTGAAATTCTTTGTTTTATGCCTCAAAATAAACACACTTTTATTATAGCATTTATGAATGGGTTTTAGGGGGCCTTAAAATTCGACACTAAAACCACACTTTCACCCATCATCGGGCTCAAAAATTCGCACTCCCAACGTTACCGCCAATTCACACCCGATTTCGAGTGTATTTTTCCGCAACTGCGGCCAAAAAGTGTCAACTGACTAATAAATTACCCCATGATTAACACTCGGCAGCAGCTGTAAAATGTTTTTTCCTTTCTGTATCGCAGAGCTTACAATATGCAAATGTTTGCGGTATTATAATTACTATTTCTGTTTCTGTTTTTTTTTTTGCCCCATGTTAGCTGGAAAATGCCACACGGCCCTCTGCCTTTGTGCATTTAACATTTTCACATTATTTAGATAGCGAATTGTTTGCTAAAAAGCCAGTTAAAGATGCAACTATCAAGAGTCATTAAGTACGGAGTATTAAATGCCTGAAAAGCACTTAGACGTCGCAATTATGGGGCGACAAAGCCAGTTTTCCGTTCGGTTACCTGGCTATTTATACATTTAATCGCGTTGAGAAGCGTAATTAAAACACAAAAAAGTTGGGCAAACACCTCTACAAGTCGATAGAACTAAACCCAATTTTTAGAGTTAATCACTCACGTAGTGCCTGGCCGATCGGCGATTAAAGGCCCCAGAAAACCAGGTAACCTCCGAGATCCATCATCGCCTTCGAGAATGGGTCTAATCGCGTCGGACTGCCTTAGCTAACTGCCGGTTATCTAATCGCGTTCGTTATTTTGCCATTTTGCGGTTCTGATTTTAATGGCCCACTCTATATACGACTAGAGCTGCAGACAGTCGTGCTCGTGATTTAGAAATATAAATATATTAAGCTGTTCTGCGGAATGGAATTTATGGTAATTTACGGCCAAGTGGCAAGCAATTGCCAGGCGCAGCGAATTCATAGGAAATGGCTATGGCATATAACCAATATCAAATGCCCAATACGATATGGGTATTATGGCAGAGCAAACTATGGGGCCCAGCCTCACAATGGCTATATCATTAGACGCTTTTTTTTCATCTGTCTATCCAATGACCTTGGCTGTTTGCAGGTGTCTTTGGGGAGTCGATAAAATAGCTGGCTTTCACTTTTTCCCTGTCTTCGACTCGGACGCCCCTTAATGTTTTTTCGTATATGTTAATGCAAATGTCAACCCAACGAATGTGAGAAAGCCCAGTAGTCTTCGCTAGCATTTTTGCCAAGCAATACGAGTATACACCCCCTACCATCTGAAGCGATCCCTTGGGGCAATGACATGGCCAACTCCATCATCGCCACTCGTTTTCTCCACGCCTTGTAAAGAAAGCGCGCTGAATTTGTAAGAAAAGGTAAACAGCAAAGTATATTTAAGAAGAAAAAAAAACTAAATTATTGTTTTGTACCGGCCCTGCCCTGCCCTGCCCCACCCATTATCATTTATGCTTCTTCGCCCACTTTTGAATGGTCTTTCCCCTTTGTCCATAATTGTTCAGGTCTCGTATTGTGCGTGAGCGCGCATTTTAAACACCCAACAACCCAACAACTCACATTAAATGAAATACGAAAATTAAATACAACAAAAATCCTACGTATAAGAAAAAAATACAAAAAAAAAGAGCGATAAAAAAATAATGCAAAAAGCGTAATGAGGAAGTGTTGCCATGTGGACAGTTTCAGTTTGGTGTGCAAAATGTTAATATCATTCAACTACGGATACGAAACCAGGAGCGGTTGGCAGACCTTCGGGGGGAAGTCTTTTGATGAGGGAGAAATTTAACCACTTCCTCTATAATGATGTGATATTAGCGGCCAAGAAGAACTTTTTGTGTTGGCTCAATAAATACTTAATGACATGAAAGTGACATTGTAATTTGCTGCCATCATTAATAAAAAAAAAAACTTTTACCTAATACAACACACTTCCCTTGGCAACAACATCTGTGGGACTTTTGATTGATCATCGTTTCGTATAATTAGGTAAACGCTTTTAATTTATTTATTTGATATTTCTATTTCTGTTTTCGGACATTTTGTGTCGAGTTCTTTTGTCCAGTCTGAATGGAAGACAATGTCTGGGAGAAACTGCCCAGTCATTTATCAAAATTTATTTTTAAGCATTCGAGTTCTCTTTTTTTTCGTTTTTCGGTTGTTAACAGCTAAATTTGCCTTCATGTTCCAAAAACCAGAACGGGGATCAGTGTTTCCCAGGCTGCTTAAAATGCAAAAGCCACAGAAACAACATCAGAGTTATTTGTTTAGAGACCAAACACTTGAAAGTTCTCAATAGGCCAGGCCGCGGAGTTGAACAGAAAATGCAATTTATTATTGTTAAGAGCTCAAAGACGAGGGCCTGCTGCGGGAAACAGTCAAGCTTGACTAAGATGGACTTAACCTCTTAACAACTTGATTTATCTTTTGTAAAATGTTTGTTTAAACCGACTTTTCTTTAGTTTGGATATGGTTTTGAAATGTAAGTAGTACTTTCAAACATCGTTTAGCTAGAGTTATTGTAACCACTAGACTTAATTTATCAAAATGGTAATATTTCTATTTCTCTTTGTAGAAAAATATTTTAAAAGCAACTTCTATTAGATTACATATAAATAAATACGCAGTCAAGCTTCTTTTAGCTGAATTTCTGGTAACCTCTAAATTAATTTGAAAATGGGCAACCTTTCTACCATTTTTTTAAGTTAATGTATTATAAGTCTGACTTCTATCATATGGCTGGATATGTTAGTAATTTTTCCGCAGTTGGTTCCATTTTCAGAGGTTCCACTTTAATTGAATACCTTTGCTTGGGGGCTCAGGTGCACCGATTGCTGGTTGTTGGCGGCTTGTCTAGCATAAACTGTGTCAACTGCAAGTTTGAAAAGTTGATTCTAATGTTTACTTAGTGTGGGCCCCACTCGCACATAAATATCAATTTAGCCATGGTCCTCCGTGTGTGGTTCTCCAAGCCCCCTCTGAAGACCCCCTCTTCCTCTATTCCCCCCGCCAATGTCAGGTTAAATAAATCGTAAATTCAGAATTCGCCGCCGAGATCTTAGGCTTGGAGTCTTGGCTCGAGCACCCAAGAATGTCTCAAAATAAATACGAAAAAAAGTGACTCGCAACTAAATTAAACAGTTTCGCAATTCGTTATCGTCGGATATTTTTATTTTTATTTGTATTTTTTTGGGCATGTGTGTCATGTGCGGTTGTCGCCTACCAAAATGCGAAAAATGGAGGAGATCGGGGGAAATTCGGAGGAGTCACTCATATAGAGAGTGAGTTGAAGGAAGCCTTTCTGACGTCTCTGTACGTGCGAACGCATTGGAATGCATTTAATTGAACAAATGAATAAACCATAGTGTATGGCATAAATTTGTATAGAATTGTATTGCCGATAATTGATTGGCAACACACACCTCAGAACGAGTCAAGACCGGCTTTGAGCCAGCATCGATATTGTTATAATTCAGTTAGACAGATGGCCGAGAAAAAACTGACATTCTTGCAGGTAAATGGAAAATAAAGATAGCTTGGAAATCAAGAGTGAAGATATGCAATCTTCTTGTTTTATAAGATCTTTTTCATATTACATATAATATTATTAGAAATTATAAAATAAAGTTAATTATTATAATATTACTTTTACCTTTATTTTCCATTCCTGAACAACAAATGCTAATGAGCTTAGAAATGAATATTTATTTCCTACAGATATTATGTGCCTTGAATTTATCATAAGATATACGGGCTTACTAACGATTTTCTAAGAACTTTGTATTCGCACAATACAATCATACATACATGTCCATCGGTTCGGATTACATATCCAGCTCCATAACCTTCCGTCGCCAACTCATTTTGAAAACACATTTAAAATTCAGTTCTCATCTCATCAGTGAAACAAAGGAACAAATGACATTGACTTTTGCTTGCCTTTTCTTTTACTTTTTTTTTGGTCCACTCACTGGCGATAAAGAAAATTCTCATGAATTTTGGTATTAAAGCTCTAACATCTTAGGAGGCAATTAATAGTGTAAGAACCCCCACAATTTGCTTTAATTTGGTTTATAGACAGATAATAAAGTAAAGTAAGCCGTAAAAAAGTGTGCAGAAAGAACAAAAAGTTGGAGAAAAATGATACTGCGTCGAAAAAATAATATATATATGTTTTAGTGGCGGACATCAGAAGTTCACAAGATTTACGAGAGTATGTTTCGGTTTAATGGGGTCTATAACCGGGGGTTCAGAGGGGCCCCGACTTTAATGGGGGCTCAAAAGTTTAACCAACACAATATGTAGTGCGACTGCTGCTGGTTTATTTTTGTTGGGCTAATTGAGTTGAAGTAGCCGCAGCAGGTTTTTGTTTTACAAATTATATATCTTTTATGCCTGCGTAATTCTCCTCTTTATTTTTTGTGTTTTATTAAAATTTCTTGCTGTTTTTGAAAGTGAATGCCTTGACATCATTTCGTTTACATTTTGGATTTTATTTTCGCTCTTTTGTTCAATGAAATCAAGTCGAAAACTTTATTAAAAATTCCAAAGTGCACTGCC